AGTTGGAACCTCATCGTATTTAGAACTTGGCTGTAAAAACAACCTTCCTTTGTCTATTGAAACACTGCATTAAAAAACAAGCAAACAAGTAAAGAAAAGTATTTATCCTTCGAAAACAGGGCAAACAATATAGTAGGGATGGCATGTGCATCCTTCCTACGTTATATTACAGGTAAGAATTAACATATAGCAATATATATAAAACTATTCAATTACAATTGAGCTTAATTTATCCTATTTTTGTCTGTTAACATTCTACTACGCTGTGTGCCTGTGCTATAATGTAGGGATGATGCAAATTCCATCGCTCTTATCTTGCTCGCATTGTTTTTGAAGGATTGATATTAGCCATCCTTACATTTACTTACTTTTTAAGTTAATAATACTTATAAGGAGGATATTCCGTTTGACGAGTCTATACAGACTTTAATATAACACTGATTCGTATGTATGTTTGTAGTTAAGCACAAAGCTACACAACGGGCTATCTGTGCTCTGCCCACCACGTGTATCGAAACCCGGTTTCTAGTGTTGTAAGTCCGCAGATGTACCGCTGGGCCACTGGGGGGCAACATAACATAAATATCATCCATAAAATTAGCTAGTCTTAGCACACAGCTTGTAGAGAAACATAAAACAACATTTTCTTTTGAAATTTATAGCGTATGAAATGCAAAACCCGAAATGGGACTAGGCTTAATGTTTTTCCATATCTGTGATCTTTGATAAGTTCTATGAAAGTAAAGTTAACTACAACCAGATCAGAGACACCAAGTGCGGTATAAAGATAGGTCATCAAAGTAATGTTTTCTTTCGGTGATTTGAGGTAAATGAAATTTTATTTAAATAACAAATAGCCTACTAATTACATGGTAACATTTTTATGCTTAAACCTAAACGTTTTAAACCGAAGAAGGTAAATGACATTCGATCATGTCCACCTGCACGCTTTTGCTTTCTCTCTTTTGAATTAAATGAATGTTTCATTTTTTTCAAATAAAGAATTTTCTTCAGTAAACTAGATCTTAGTGACTATTATGGTATGAATGAAGGGATGGATAGAACGTATAAGGTTAAAGATAAGGCTCAATAAACTACTCTAAAAAGAACTATACATGGGTTCTATGTTTGTTTAGTGGGAGTCATGTATACTAGATGTTCTGTTTCAAGAGTAAATAAAACCATAATTAAGAATTACAAATATTTTTATTTCTTGCTTTTGAAGTTCATATGCCGTGCTGTGTTGTATCCTACAGGCTGCATATTCATTCTCCTGATCCATGGCATGCGCACGTTTTACTGGCGGCACGACAGTACAAATTGTAACTTTAAGCGTCCCTTATATGACGTTTTAGTGTCTACTGACTGACTGACTGACAGACAACACACTACTGTAAAGTAGTGCGATGTCTTAAAACAGGTGACCCACTAGGCGGCCTTCGGCCTCCCTTTCGACGAAACAAGCTTTTAAAGTTTAAGTACATGAAAAGAGTTAGGGTGCGGCAAGAATTGGCTTGTTAAAGTTAGTACACATTTAAGGCATGGAAAAATTCCCGATTAGGAAAATTTTAAAGACTTCCTAGAGTTTCGCATTATTTACGTAAGTTAGATATTTTAATTATTTAATCCATTCGCAGTTAACATACAAGCTTTACCATAACTTGTCTTTGTATTAATACTGATTGTATAAGTTGCATATAATATTACTTTGAACTTGGTATATTCGCTTACTTGGAAAACAAATGTTTTTAATTGCTTTTACCCATGATATTGAAATTCTAGATTGATAAATAAATAAATAAATAAATTCTTTAGAATATGTGAACTACTAATTCTCATATGCACATGAACGCCAATGTGAGCTTGAGGTGCTCTACATAATCATATTACTTGCATAACTCGTATATTAATTGACTGTTATTCACCAAACATGGATCAATTATATGGTATTTTATTTCTACATTCTTGTAATGGCCCAGATTGGCCAGGTGGCTAGGGCACTCGACTCGCAATCTGAGGGTCGCGCTTCGAATCCTTGTCCCACCAAACATGCTCGCCCTTTCAGCCTTCGGGTCAACTTACAATTAGTCTAAAGTAATCAGATCACTACGTTGTTTACAACGTTCTTGATAAAAGTAACACTTAGCCAATAATATCGACATAACTTCCTCTAAGTTTCTAGTCTAATTCTCCCCATTTTTGATTCCGATATTCTATTTTTATATTTATTCTAAGGAGATATTCAACGCACCAATTTCTTTATTTATTTATCCGACTTTATTTATGTTTCAGAGTTTGGCTTTCTTCTTCGTTAATGGAAATAAATCATCAAAGCTAAACACAACAGAAATTAAAAACAACAACAACAAAACTTTGTGAGTTAAAGGTTAGTGAACCAGATTTCTTTTGTAACTTATGTGAATACAGAATTACTTGTTGTGAAACTAGTATGACGTTTTTCAATTTTATGATGTCAATTTCGAAGACACTATAGCTGTCTGATGACAGAGCGTAAAGATATGCCGTACAGATTATTTGTGAAGAGAGCATAAATACTATAAGTTCGAAATCTGTAGATAAAAATATGAGTTAACAGTACTTTGATAACGAGACATTTAATGAACACAGCTTTAGCCAGTTCATCACAATAACTTTCTCATCGTCGCTGTAAACTGGAAATACTAGTTACTCTGTTCAACAGAAATGATGTTAAATAGTTTAGTAAACACAGTCTGTTTATCACACATGCGCCTCAATTCTCTTCACAATGCTTTTTAAAATTAAATCATTAAAACTCACTTTTCATGAAGCTTGCTCAGTCCTGATAATCAAAAGCTGCATTATTACGTTAGAAATGTGATATAATACATAGTAATCGTAACAGAAGAAATGTGTTCATTTGCGCATTGTAGTTGGAAGATGGTACATTGTGAAAGAGATATACAAGTAAAGTGGAATTCAGATCTTCATTTGATAATATTACTGTGTTTTTATACGCTTGCAATAGAATCTAGTTGTTTTTAATGGATTTCTTCACGATTTAAAAAAAAGAAAAGAAATATAGACACCATACATTATTTACGTTCAATTTGCAGAAAAAGTGTAGACATTTGGTACAATTTTTATCAGTAAACTTAAGTTTTGATGAACGGAAATAACATAGAAACTTATGAAATATATATATATATTACGGAATTTTACTGCTCAGAAATTATTACATTACTTTAATGTAGATGGCAGCACAAGCCGATTTACAGAAACGTAACCATTTATCAAGCATCTCTCTTTACACATATGTATATATATATTTATAGATATTTTTTAAGTGTAGGGCAATATACATATACACATCAATAATGTTCGATCAGTGTTCCTCAAACACACATGCTCAGGAATCCATTACCAGTTCAATCGATATACTTTGTGTGACATATTGTTACATTAAAAGGAAGTAGCGAGAACACCGAGAAGAAAGCATGAGGGAAACAAGAAAATAATATCAGAAGCAGTAAAAATAGGAGAAATAACTTGCAGGAGCTAGAAGAGATAAGAAAGTTCTCCTTTTTTTAAATGTAAGTCCAGAATTCGAAAACTATGCAACGATGTGTTCATGATTGATTATTATGATACAGAAAATGGCTTTTTCTGTTAAGCAAAAAAGTGATGATTTTTCAAGCAAGGACCTCGTTAGGTTCTATTTAAGTCCTTTCACTTCGTTCATCTATTCGTAAAAAAATAAAATAGTTTAAGAGAGTGAAAGGTCATTAAGTTTCGTGTAAAATTTGACCAATCCTTGGCGATGGGGGATATTAAGTATTGAAAGCAATGAACAAGTTTGTATATTCATAATGTGGATTGAAATTACATATTCGAAGCAATGAGAACGTTTTAAAATATGGATTGGATAATATGTATTAAAAACAATGGACGTGATTAAGTATTCAAACTGTGGATTAAAATCACTCGTACAAATGTTTGGAGAAAATTATAATAGCTCTCATGTAATATATGGTGTTATGTTTATAATTTTTGATATTTCATTGTTCATTAAATCGACTAATTAGTGTGATATCATTTAAGCACTATATACGTATACCTTATACATTTGATTTAATTCTTAAGAGTTTGATTTCATTTGTTACTTCTATTAACTGGACAATGTGTGGGTGCCCCCCCCCCCAGTGGTACAGCGATATATCTGCGGACTTACAACGCTATCTGTGTTCTGCCCACCACGGGTATCAAAACCCGGATTTTAGCGTTGTAAGTCCGCAGACATACCGCTGTGCCACTGGGGGGGCTTTAAATAGGTCTAGTTTGTTTGTTTGTTTTCAAATAATAGATCAAATGATTAATTACTTTATTATAGGTCGTATTATGTAGAAGAGTGTATTGATAGGTGTCGCCCTTTCAACCCATTCGTTAGATCGATGTGCACCTAGTTTTCACTTTATCTTATTTCATTATACGGTGTTTGTTGCACAAACTACACAAAAGTAATAATAATTCTGCTGCTGACAGGAATCAGAAATGCTACCGTTTGTTACAGGTAATTACTACACAAACTGTTGTAAAGTAAGAAGTATTTAGTTTAGACTGTCATTTGTGACAGGTGTCGTCAGATGTATTGTTTGTTTGTTGCTGAATTTCGCGCAAAACTACACGAGGGCTATCTGCGCTAGCCGTCCCTAATTTAGCAGTGTAAGACTAGAGGGAAGGCAACTAGTCATCACCATCCACCGCCAACTCTTAGGCTACTCTTTTACCAACGAATAGTTGGATTGGCCATCACATTAGAACGCCCCCACGGCTGAAAGGGCGAGCATGTTTGGTGGGACGGGGATTCGAAACCACGACCCGCAGATTGCGAGTCGATCTTCTTAATCACCTGGCCATGCCGGGCCCCGTCAGATGTAAAAGGCTAACAAGTAATGCTACAGTATTCCGTTTATTAAAAAAAGTTACATGCATTTCCACTAAAGAAGCACTTATATTAAAATTATATAAATCTTTGAGATTTAAAAACAACAACAAAAACCTTTGCTACGCAAGTTTTATCTAATAAACAAACTTCACAATGAAAAACAGCATTAAAATATGTTGGCAAAAGTTCAATATTTGTATAGTTATAAGAAAATAAATTTACAATTTAATCAGTATAGCTGTCGAAACTATTTGTTAGCTATTCCAGATTTTTAACCAAACGCTGACATGGGTGGTAGGGAATGTGTTCAGTTTTATTCATCATCCAGGCGTAAGCTCTTCTCTTATCTTGCGCTAGAAGTTCCTTACCCACCAGATGGCGCACCTTTTGATGGTAATCATTTAACCAATTGACCTAGCCAAGAGACAATAAGGTATGTTTCATTCAATTGAAGACAAATATATCATACTTTACAATTATATATTGTATATATACAATTATATATTGCCAACAGCCTAAAATAACCTGGAAACAAGCTAAAAGCTTCAGATTTAATATTAGCTTCAAGACAGTAGCACGCGAGTCCTCTGGAAACCTCACAATTAACAAATTTTTTGGTTCGGGTTTCGGTAAATGCAAACAAACTAGTACCCGGTATAAGAAAACAGTATTTTTTTAAATTTTTAAACATTGATCGTAAACAATTAAATTTGTTTTCTTACAGTTTCATTTCAATTTTTAAACATTGATCGTAAACAATTAAATTTGTTTTCTTACAGTTTCATTTCAATTTTTACAAGTTTCTCTAATTCGCGTTTTATGAAATAACTAGCTAAATTTTATTTGAAATAGGAAATATAATTTGAATCTAAGTTTCAAATGGACAACAACTGCCTGTTGGAGAAACCTACAAATGTAGAGGACGACATTTCGAAAGTATTCCGCCTTTTGTCTTCACATTTGTAGGTTTCTACAACAGGCAGTTGTTGTCCATTTGGAACTTAGATTCATTATGAATACTCTACCTAAACAACCTATCAAAAAATATAATTTGTTTTTCACATATATATGTTTTTTTCACGTTATATATGAAACTGAAATGTTCTATAAGTGAGTAAACAGAATAGTTAGGAAAAATTTGTTGAAGTCCAATACTTTAAAATTTGTATTGTAACTTCTCTTCAAAGGGGGTGGGACGTGTGTTTTATGATTCATGTTGTAATTATTTTTTTATATAATGTAAACTGTAGAAACGTTTGCGTAAAGTATCCAGTTTTAGAATATCTTATTTATAAAGTCTTAGAGTTTGTTTTCACCATAAATTTCATAAGATGACATACAATCACAGTAAGCGATGTTCAGTGTAAATAAACCAGATATAAAAATTAGATTATTTTATAAGCTTAGAACTAGTGCTCAAACTCCCATCATTTGACAGTGAAATATACGTACATTTATCGATAATCTAATCTTTGCTGTGAATCTAATTATTTAGATATTCGACTGATTACGCAAAATTTAGATTTAACTTTAAAATAATTTTAAAGTGTATAGAATTTGTAAAGCAAGGAATTGATTTTCAGATAATAATTTCTCAATTCGTTTATCAGTAAGAAATACTTGAGTGAACGTAAGAAATATACAAAAAAAAACAAGCAAAATCATATAAATATATACATATATGTTTCAAATAGATCTATAGTTGTATTCATCAGTTTTAGAGCTTTAATTTGGGGATTTCTAATCTGTTGCTAACCTAATTTTGTCAGCTATTTGGCGGATTTTGATTATTGATTTTTCTTTGTCGCTATTGTTTGTTTGGAATTAAGCACAAAGCTACACAATGGGCTATCTGTGCTCTGCCCACCATGGGTATCGAAACCCGGTTTCTAGCGTTGTAGGTCCATAGGCACACTGGAGGCTTCTTTGTCGCAAAGGTTGGCTGTGCTCCGTTTACCGCGGGAACTGATCACCGAACTTTAGCGTTGTAAGTCCGTAACCTTCCCGCTGACCCACTGAGGGATCATCTTACTACGAGTTTACAAACATAGAAGTGAATTTTCCAACGGGGACCAACACTTAAAAAAAAGAAGCAAATACGATAACCTCTCCTCTCTCGAAGAAAGGAACAAGCACGATTTGCACCGTGGATAACATTCATCTGACTGTATCCTTCATGCGCGTGATTCTATTAACTAGGGTAACGAAAGTGAGATATTTATTCTTAAAAAGGGATTCACTTCGAGCAATGCGTAGAATATCACCAAGAATAACGTTCGTTCCTTAGGCAAAGTTCAGCATTTGAACATTTTCTATAAGTATAGAAAAGATGATTTTGATTCGATTGACGAGAATCTCGCAACTGGGTTAAAAAGTTTGCTTTGATAACTCGTATTTGCGTCCAGACGTTCAACTTTTATCTCATGGTGTAAACTCAGTGCATATTTTAATCGAAAATAAAGTTACTATACTAACTGCGTTTTTCTTGTAATAATTGCTTTGAACTGTTTTGAAGAACCCCAGTTTTAAGATTTATCGAAGAAAATTCTTTGTTTTAGTTAAAAAAAAGTGTTAGTGTCAATTTTTTAAAAACTAGAGGGAATCACAATAGCCTCGGCTCTTGAAATTATTTTAGAAAGGAGTAGAGTAAATTAATCTATGAGACCTTTGTTTCTCTTATAATTAGCTATATTTTTGTGCGTCAACAATACCAAGCGTGGGGCGCGCGTATATCCGATTCGATTTTATTACTTATCAGGGTCTCTACCAACCTACTCTCAAACTGAAATTCTTTTAGGCAGAATTAGAGTATATCAATCTATGAGACCTTGGACGTGGTCAAATACATCAATCGAAAGGGTTTGACCTCCTGAATCCAAAACTGTAATTAGATCTCAAATCGGTCAAGTGTGTTCTTGAAAAAAGAAAACAAAGAGCCGTTCTATGAGCCGTTATGCCGCGGCTAAAAATATTGGAATAACTTACGTATAATTCATTGTGATAGAGGAAAAGGGCATGATCAGTTAACTACTAAAAACACCAACAATAACGATTCGACTTTGCTTTCAAAGTTAATTATAACACAGTTCCATCACTAGACAGTCTTACCCCTGGTCAATTCCTGTTTAAAATAATTATTAAGTATTTGACTTTGAATTAGTACAGTAAAATTGTTGGCTATAACTAAGTATAAAACATCAATACACACTTAGTTAAATATATATATGGTCAGAAATCGAGGTTTCTTTATCAATATACTGCAGTAGCGGAGATTTAGCTTTAGTGTATAAAGTACAAATACGTTTGTATTCTGTACAAAATTTAGTTAGTTACAGAAAGCCACTGGCCATTCTGACAGAATCTGTATTGCTGAATATTCATTGTAGAGAACCTATCTTCTAGAGCATGTAAAGTTTGGAGTTTTAAAGTGATTTTGTATTAATTGCGATTGTAATATGAAATGTTAGGATGTTTCCAACAATTCATAGCTTAACAGCATAATTAAGTCAATATTGTACGTTATCTTATTCGTTCGTATGAGTTAGTATTCAAATGGGTTTTATTTGTTTTTCGTTAAGCCCAAAACTTCAGAATGGGCTATTTGTACTATGCCCAAAACAGGTATCGAAACTCAATTTTTGTGTTACAAGCCCCCACACCTATCATTGAATCAATGGGGATAATACAAATGGGTAAGTTCCTTTCAAAAGTTTTATTTTCGCAAGACAAGGGAAGTACGTGTTTTATTATTTTTCGTTGAGTGTACTTTTTCAATAGTAAGTTATCGTAAATAACGATATTTCTTGTTTTATTCCTTCCCCTCAATCTGTCGGAGAACTATTGTACATGTAACGTAACAATGCTAAACGAGTTTCCACAAACGCTGCAGAAAGTTTTAGTTCTAACTACTTATTAGGTCGGTAAACAAAATAAATAAATAAAATTCTAAGCAAAGCTGACCTGGTGTTCATTCAGCATTTCAATCTTGATAAGATTAGGCTCAAACGGAACTACAGTAATCGGATCCCATGTGAAGTAGGTTTTCCCGCCGAAATTATACTGCAATGACATCAGTAAATGGTTGATGTTACGCTTTATATATATATACATATATATATAAATAATAGTAATTTCTGGTGTTTCAAGTATCACTTATTAATGCATATCATCTAAACTGAACTCTATGAAGATTAAAAATAGAAGTATTTAAATATACACTGTTGCCAGTGTATAAATATTAATAGCAGCACAGCATGAGTTTTAGTACATATAACTTTCATAGTTATTAAAATATTTTTGTTCTGAATTAACCTTAGCACAACAGTAATAAGTATACATAGAAAAAATATTACATCATAAAGAAGAATAGCTTGAATTGAACGCAGCATATCCAAACCTTAGATGAAAAATAATTAATTGTAATATTATGTAGAAATGAAAGCAAAAAAGGAAAATAGAAACAACGCAGCAACAAAACAGACATGTACCACCTGGGCATACGCCATAAGGTGGGTAATTATGCAATTATATACTGTGTTAAATTCACGTTATTCTTCCTTATTATATAATATTTTATTCTTTTTTCTTTTTATAATTATTATTGTTGTGATAAGGTTAATTCAGTACTAAAATTAGTATAAATAACCCTGAGGTAAATAATTTTATTAACACTAATTATCCGGTAGAATTAGAAATTGAAAAATACTCTAATCTCTAAGGTAGAGGCACATTATTAAGACGTGGAAATTAAAATAATTGGTAATGATATCAATCTTAAAGTTTTGATAAAATAAACTACTATTTTTTTTCCAACATATGGCTTACCCTCTTTTAATAGTAATGTGCCATACTCTTCTGTGAAAAGTATTATAACTTTACAATTATTCAGATTTTGTAAAATCTGTATCAACTTACAATATTTCATTATTAATGTTGAAATATTAATGCAAAAATTAATATTCAATGGATTTAATAAAGAAACTATGAATAATATTATTAAAATATTCTGTGATAAATATAAGAATGCATTAACTAAATATAAAGAAGTAAACATTAAGGATATTTTGTTATAGCTTCCAATAAGTAGTTTTAGTTTTAATAAGGTCATTTAAACAACTTGGCACTACTTTTATGCGGATGAATACCTTATCGCATATAAAGGCTTGTGTAGAGTTTGAAAATTGATAGTTAGAGTGGACTTAAAGGGTGGTGGTTGGGAGTTATACTAGTCAGTTTAGATAACTTGGCTGGGATTTTATACTAGTATAATTCGTCTATTGTGCTACTGATTAGTGCTTTACTACAATGGCTCCTTTTACTTTGAAGAGCAGTCACTTTCGCACAAGTGTCTGCAGGCAGTGAAGGGTGATATAGATGTGGGACATTGTGAGCTTGGGCACCCACATCTTGCTCTGTTAATTTTCACTTATTTTGATTATTTATTTTTTTGGACTTTTTCATGTGAGACTGGCGAACGGAAGTTAAGACTGATAGACGGTGTATCACCACCGCAATATGGATCCTACTTCCGCAATCACCTCCAAAACCCAGGGCACATTTTATATCCCACATTATAGCCTGGGGATTCTCTTGATTTGTGCAGCGTATTTGATTTCATTTTTGTTTGGGCTTGTTTGTTTTCATTTGGATGTCATTTATTACAGGTTTGGATTTGCTGTTTTTAAGGCAGTCCTTCCTTTTGATTTTGTTTTGCTTGACTGTTTGAGTATTTATTTTCTATACATACTTACATATATATCAAGTTACTTTACAAGAAGTATATTTTATTTTTTTGTAATTGAAAATTATATGTATCATGCTTTAAAATCTAACAAGATATAAACAACTCTTCGTTCTAAGGATTTTGATAACAAATTGGTTTGTGATGACAACGATTCTAAGAAGCACTTATAAGAGTCTAGATCTAACCAGAAAAGCAAACACTAACAAGATATTATAGAAAAAAAATCCCCACTTACTTCAGTTTTAGCTTCTGTAACCATAATGATATTTTCCAAACGAATTCCAAACTGTCCTTTTTCGTAATATCCTGGTTCTGATCGAGGCACGAATTTCATCATGGCAAAAACATAAATTTTTGTTTGATAATCTTTAGGTAAAATGTAATCTCATTTGAAACTAACATAGTTTACATTCCCAAGTAAAGACTTTTTTCTTTTGTAATTAGGCATGTATTTTCGCTAAAATTTGTTTCAAAATTTTCGCGCAAAGCCACACAAGGACTATCTGCACATTGCCATCCCAACTTTTGAATTAATAGCCAATTCTTGGGTAAATTTTATTTGACCGAATAGTGGAATTTGGTCGACACTACTAAAGCGCACCCATGGGTCCAAAGTTCGGAACGCATTTTCGTGATAACGGGACGCAAACCATGAATTTCGAAACCATAGCTAAAAAGCACAAACACTAGGCCATGTATGGCCTATCTTCGTTACAAATATATTTATTCAAATATAGGTAATTTTCAGTTCAAGGGGAAATAGCGGTTTTTAGTAAAATATAGCAAAGGATAAATCAGTATTTAATCACAATTCGAAAAACCCTATTAGCTGAACACTTTCAAAACGTCTGTTTTCCGAAAGCGTTATCGGATTTCTTAGCTGTAGGATATTTATTTATTTTTCAGCCTAAATGTCTATGGATGCATGCTAAAAGACATATCACGTTAGATTACAATTTTTGTTTTCTCTCAACCGCTTGGGCAAAATTCACTATGGAGTTTAAACCAGAGAGACCATCCGAGAGGTACTTTTAATATCAAATAATCCTAGTTTGAAACTTGTTGATGACTAAGTGGATTATGATAGAATAAACATTCTCACGTGGTAATTCGTCATAGTTAACGAGGCAAAATAGCTCTCACGCTCTATATTGGAGAATTAATACCATGTTAACTATATTTTTTTAAAATGTCATACTAAAAACAGAGTCAATAAAATTTCACAGCTATAATGAAAGGCACAAAAGTGAGGAAGTATTCTATCAATTTTGGCGATGTCGGGCTTGATTAGTAGTTAGCATGGTCGGAGTACCAATTTGAAGATTTATGGCTCGCGTCCCTTTGCTTCAAAAACACCCTCTGCACTTTGTGGTCCTAAGTGCGATACAAACACTCCTTTCCTACTCTCATATATTGAAAAACAAATACTCCAAGTGCCATCAATAAAACGTATCACACTTTATCTACAATTAAAATGTTCGTAAGAATCATTTAAATTCCCGCCTTTCTTCAATGTGATATGTTAACTGATGTCTTAGAAAACAATTTTTGTATCAAGCTAAGTCTATGATCAAGTAGGATATTTTTGTTCGTTAATTATTATTTATTGTTTGCGCTTTTGTCGGAATGGAAGCGAAACGTATTGAGCTGAATGATATTTCAATTAACTTTCAACTCTTTTTAATTCAGAATTAGTTTTAATAATTGTACTTTTGTGATGTTGGTGAAAGAGGTACACAAACGAACACCAAGGGATTCGTTACCAATAAACAATACTTCTCACTCCTACACACACGTGTATAGAAATATAACTATTATTTTCATAATACACATCAAGATATGGTATTTATGTTTAATTGTTGTCAACAGTAAATTTTTTGCTCTACCATTTCAATCTTTTCTAATTAATTTATAATTGTTTTTAACCAAGGAGGATTTGTTTGTTTGTTTGTTTGTTTTGG